GGATCTACAACTTTTATATACTGGCGGATTATAATTTCCTCTCTCACTTTCTCTCTCTCTCTCTCTCTCGCTCTCTATCGATATATATATATATATATATATATATATATATATATATATATGTATGTATAATGGGCATAAATTTCAGATAAAGTATATCTGTAAAAGAACAATATGAATTAAAACTAAAGGAAAACTTATGTTAGCTGACGTACTCTGAGGGACATTTAGCTTGCTAAAGTCTCTGAGAAAACGAAACGCGTCGGTTAAGAAAATTTTCTTTCTTTGTCTTCATATATATATATATATATATATATATATATATATATATATATCTTCAAAGAAGTAATGGATTTATTTTTTTATTTCAGATTTTTATTATTAGCGGAAACTTTTAGTGGATATCTATTTCTGAAATAGACTTCTCGTTTTTTTTTTTTTTGTTTTTTTTTTTTTTAATAATGCTTATTACATCTACTGGTCATATATATATATATATATATATATATATATATATATATATATATATATATATATATATATATATATATATATATATATACCTTATTCAGGCTCAAGTATACAATACACCACCCAGAGTTTTGAACGGGGTTAAAATAATGGGGGACTAACGGTAGTGAATGAAAGCAAGGAAGGACTAAACATCAATTGCAAGGAATCTGAATTTCATGATTGTCAAGCAAAAGGAGCAGTCCAATATAAAAATTACAAATTGGAAGTGTTAAAATCAAACAACTCAAACATTTAAGTATTGGGGAATTGTTTTAAAATCAGAAATCCGAAAAGCGAATTGGGTTAGAGAAAGATGCCTTCAAAAAGCTAGGCAAAGTATTAAGAAACAGAAAAATTTCGTTAGAAACAAATAAAAGAGTACTGAACTGTTATGTAATTTCCTTCCTCCTAAATGTCAGTTGACGCTGAACATTCTCCTCGCAGACTAAGAAAAGACTTGAGGCAAAAAAAATGTGGTTTTACAGAAGGATGCTGAGAATACAATAAGCCGAACATGTGAGTAATTACGAAGTTTCAGAGAAAAATGTCTAATGTTCAATATCCCTTACCAATTTTTTTAATCACTTCCCCACAAGCAAGGGAATAAAGCCACTAAGACGTGTGAGAGAATATGATAAAAAGCAAAACATTATTAATGAGAGAGTATAATAGAAGTATGGGAATTAAGAAGACAAAAGATAACGATTGACATTGCGTTTAAATTTTTGATAGATCAACGTTGACTGGAAAGCAAGAAGCTAGAAGAGAGTTCCACAAGCGAGAAGTGCGACAGAAGAAACTATTAGCATAGAACTTACGGTCACATCTCGTCTTTTTAATTGTAAAATGATCTAGTACTGTGCCTAAATTCATAAAATCGATGAACCAAAGAGGAAAGCTCATCAAAACAATTAACATGACAATATTTATAGAAAAAGCAGAGAGAAGCTATATTCGAGAAATCTTATTAAAGGAAAATTACCTCTCCGGAAGTACTCGAACATTCTTCCCTCTTTGCAGGAGAAAGTGTCGTTAGATTCGACGTGCTTTAACCACCTCGACTACGAAGAACATCGTGATTAACCCCTAAGCGCCACATCTTTCTCGTTTTAGATTCCCGAAAGTTTATAACTGCTCAGTTTCGTATATTGTCGAAAATTCAAGCAGGTAGCCGAAATAAAATACTGTTTAAAAGAAATGGGGCGTTTACTCAAATCTGGGTATCCATTAAAAATAACCCCTGAAATGATAAAAAATATGTCGGATAAAAAGATATTATTCATTTTTTTTTTTTTAGAAATTGCTTTGTATACGTTTCGGTTAAGAAATTGAGCAGTTAGGAATTTTCGGAAATTTAAAACGAAAAGGGTGTGCTTACCACTAAAACCTTATCTCGTTCAAGTCTAGGGTCAACTATTATCTATCCTACATATCCTCATAATATATACGTTTTGCTTCCTTCTCCTCCATACCTTACAAAAATCACTTTTATCAAAGCATTATATGAAAATGGGATATGGAGAAAAAGAAAGAAATTCTGGTATTTTTATTTTTGTGTTGCTTTATTTTCATTGGCTAATCATGTCTTACATGCGTCCGACTTGTTAAACAAATGTTAGTATAACTCATGGCGTTCCGAATTCAAGGAGAGACGACACGCCCATTGGAAGTTCCAATATATTAACGAATTCCAAGCCAAACTGAAAAACCGTAAACATTGCTTTATATTTGAAAATGTATAAGAATTCTGGTTTGTCTCTGTGGGTTTCAGATAATAAGGTATATTCTTAAGTGTAATGTGTGTATATACCTAGTAGATATTATGTTTGGTGGTATTTCGTACGTTGATTTCGGGACGTTTTCCGTACATACCGTTTGTTTAGATAAACATACTTTAGATTCTTTAAGAATGCATTCAATAAATGTTGGTGATGCTTTATAACGTTTTTGGCGTGTTTTTATAGTTGGCAATATAGTTATTAGTAATCTCTCGGAGTACTTGCGGCATTAAGAATTATGTTCGTTTTTAATTTGAATGGAATTTGTAAAAGGATTTATTATCAGTGCATATATCTTTATCAATATGCGATGCCCAAATCACAAAGTGGTTGGTGGTACGCTCAGAAGAAAAACGAAAAAAAAGCCTTTAGACAGGGTAGCCGAGAAAAGCAAGAAAAATTTATCTGATATTAGACAGAATGCATTAATTGTTAGCAAAAACAAAAAAAAAATACGCTTATTTTTTTTATTGTTCAATAAACATGAAGAAATGTTCTTTGAGCAAATAAAGGATAACGTGTCTCCAAAAAAGAAAAAAAAGTTGACCTATATTAATGGACAAAATTGAGCAAATACTGAAAAAAATGTGAAGTAATTTTAGATGTAAGCAAAATTTTGAATGTTACATTATGAGTGAGTCACTGTTTAGGGGTATTTATTCATAGTACCAATATTGTTACTGCAATAACATCCTAAAAGTTTATATTTACAAAAAAGTTTTTTTCCACAAATTACTTTTAGACATTTTTCCATGTTCTTATTTTTGTTATCGCGTTTTTTCTCCTCTATAATCAAAAACAAAACAATTGCCTACAATAGTAATGTTTCTTTATATTTTTAGATACCATCCAATTTTAGAATGTTCTTTACAGGGTGGCAAACACAACGGCAACCCATGTTGGCACAAATAAAACGTACATCACTGTCAGTTAGATGGGATTTTCAAAATTTTGATTTAAAATGTTACAGACACATGATTTAGTTCTTAATTATCTTGTTATATATTGTTCTGATTGTATTTTTTTTCTGATTTCTTGTAGGATAAATAAAAATGGGAAAAGAAAATTTTTAATTTAGAAAAATTTAAATTAAATAATCCGTATTAAGAAAAGATGAATTTGTAAGTTTCAAAAATTAAAATATACAAAACTAGGTTTCATTTTATTTTCCGTAAACAAATGGTTGGGTTATTTTTTTCTTTCTTTTCTCTAAGAACACTTTGCCTTCATTTACAATTTATTTATACAAAGAATATTACTTGATGTTTATTGAACAATAAAAAATAAACTTAGCAATTATTTTGTGTTGGTGGGGTTTCTGATGTACAATACATCCTGTCTCGGGTATGCCGTTAAACTACATCCGGGAGCAAAGCCTCTGATCAGGAGGTTTTGAGAAGCGTGAAACAACCTCTTAATTGCTACTGTTCATAAGTCCACCTTGACCTAGGGTGGTAGCACCTGTTAGGGTCCCAGCTATGGACAAATCATGAACCTCCAAACTTGGGTCAAAAAATTAGGGAAAATACCAGCAGTACATTTTCATAGTAAAAGAATTTAAAAAAATACCAGCATTAAATTATTGAAAAAGAAAACGAAAAAATAAAGCTCAAAAAATTAAATTTTGGCATTAAATGACCCTTGTTTGGTCCAAGTTAAGGTTAGGGGTCATATGTATTCCATGTAGGTCAAGTTTTCCTAACCTCTTTTCTTCATTATGTGTAGAAAATTCAACTCGATTTCTGATTCTAAGTGTCTTTTTGTTTCCATTTTCCCCATACTTCCCCATTGCTTACATGCTCTGTCCATGTCGTATCTATACTTTTCAATCACCTCATTTAAAACTCACCCTGGCTAAATATTAAGGAAAGACATTTTGTTGGTGTCAAAACACCTCACGGTACTAAGAGTAGTCTAATTATCGAATAAGTGCACAAGATATATTGATTCGTTTTTCTACGGCTTATCAACCTACTGCAGATTATTTAAAGCCAGAAAATATTTTTTAGATTCTGTCTATATTTCTGAGATGAGGTATTATATACACTAATTACATTATTCGGACTATTGTCCTCATCTTTGTTGCCATATTTATCACAACTTTTCGGACGATGTACACCCCGGCCTTCTTCAGGTGGTTGGAATGTCGAACTGAACCCTTTATTTCGCTCGCTGAGGTCTTCTGCTCTAGTTCCACGTACCATGTCTAATGGGTGTCAATCAGTTATCTCCTGTTAATTCCCTTCTCCAAGTTCTCCACTGCCTTAACCAGGTATTGAACGCACAACTCTTTGGGTCCTGTCACTGGATCTAATTAAAGCTTTTATCTACTGTGCCATGTGTCCATGTGAACTAGAACAGTCTCCACCAGCGAGCGAAATAAAGGGTTCAGTTCGACTTTCCAACCACCTGAAGAAGGCCGGAGCGTACATTGGCCAATACGTTGTGATAAATATGGCAACAAAAATGAGGACAATAGTCCGAATAATGTAAATATTTTTTAGATTGTTAGAAATTATTTTGAGGTAATAATGACTTAGTTATAGAAGGTTTACTAATTAACCCGTAGTGGGGAGAAGTGATGGATTCATACCTCTTCCCAAAGGTATTTTCGCGTAAGTGAATATAAGGAACTCAACAAAACTTGAAACTCGTCACTCCGATTAACAATTCTGAGCCGTTATCCATTACACTAATCGCTCATCCACGCTTACAGCACCTGGTATTCCCAAACGGTCACTCATCTAAATAGTGACCAGGCTCGACATTGCTTAGCTTCCGTGAATGTACAATAACCGGTGTTTCAGTGTAGTATGGCCGTAAGCCAAGTGAACAAGTGTCAACAGAAGAACAATGACACAACGTGATACAGCCTACGCTAAGAAACAGATTTAGATCTACATTAGACTGTCACTGAAATTAAATCCATACGAACTTATTAGCCACTTAATTGTGCGATGTGTGATAAGGGGAAGTATATTTTATACAGAAGACACATCACCAGTTTTACAAGTTATAAATATGTACAAATATAAAGATCGAGGCAAGTTCTGAAATAGACTAGTCAGATCGAGACATTCATGGATGTCATGCATGGCTCCCACCCCGTTCAGAAATGCCTAAACCGTAAATTGTATACAACCGCTTTCTCACGCCAATGTTTAAAAATGGCGTCGAGAGAATGAACCCTTTAGGTTTTAAACAAGACCTTCTTTTTTGAACCACGTCGACACGCGCACACACTACACGCGTAGAAAGCTGCACAAAAAAGGAACAAATCACCTAATCCCAATAATAGTAGCATCCCAATCAGCAGATACATTATTTCAAATTTAGCATAAAAATAACGAAAATTGAGAAAATTCGCAGTCAATCGCTGAAACCTCCTGACAAGAATACTGAACACTTTTGAAAACTTTCGTATATGAAACTCCAAGATGAGGTGCTGAATATGACGTCTGCCATTCGGCCGTGCATTGAATACTGTTGCCATATCTGATCTGGTGCTCTTGCTACTCATCTCAAGATTCTTGACAAAATCCAAAGAACGACTTGCAATGTAATCGATCCTGACTTGACATCCCAACTTCAGTCACTCTCTCATAGATTCAACTGTTCTGATGAGCTATCTTCTCTGGTAGCCCGACTACATGAATTTAAGCGTGCTACTAGATTGGTGCCTAGGTCCTCCCCTTTTACTGTTAAAATAGTTAAATGAAACCGCCAGTTTTACTCCAACAGTTTCATTTTTGCGCTTCCCGAACGTGGAACTCCCTTCCTCTTACTTGCTTCCGTACAATCTTCAAAAATTTAAATCGCCATCTTCTGTTGCAATCCCCGTTCATCTTTTATCTTTTCTTCAATCCCCTCTATAAGCAGTCTTTTCCCTCACTTTCACTCACTGTAACCCTCTGCGTGCTAGCGGCACTCCCGTCTTGCCTAAAATAAAAGGTAAAAAAAGAAGTTTTTTTCCAGATCTCACTTTACGTAGATCTTTACAAAGAGAAGATTTACTGACAAAATTTTGTCCCAGGAAACGCTTTCCTTTCCCATTGATTGTTATGAACAGAAAACTTTAGACACAATATTTTCCCTGTACACACTTTACGATGAAATAGAAAAACTTCGAATAAAACCAAAGATGAAGAAATTCACATCCAATCTGGTCTGGTACTCCTGCTATTCAACGCGAGATTCTTGACAAAATCCAAAGAAGTATCTGTAATGTAATTGACATCTCGACTTCAGTCACTTTCTCACCGACGAGATATGGCTTCCCTCTGTCTTCTTTTAGAAATATTTTCATGGCAACTGCTCTAACGAGCTTTTTTCCCTGGTGTTCCTACTACATGAATTTAAGCGTGCTACTAGATTGGCATATGGGTCCCACCTTATAGTGCGTTTAAGCCAAATCGTTCTCGTCATAGATTCTCGAAATTTCATATCTGCTCAGATTTCGCTTAAAGACACTATTCAACGATACTTGATCGGCAGTGTCATTCGTGGCTAATACGGTATAAACACGTCAGATCTCACGACGGTTTCTCCTATCAAGGCGGACGAAAGTTCGAATCCTGCCGACGGACGCGTATTTTTGTTTAATATGATTTCTTCTTTATGTGTCGTGTTCTTTTAGGACGTAAGCTGTCATGGCTCCCCACAACTTACTGTTCTTTGTAGGTCTTAATAAACTTTGCCTTTCCGATATTTCTCCTAAAACTTGTTCTGCTATCCATTTATTAAGGTTCACTAAGTATGTTATGTGGTGTTTTAGCTTGTCCTTCTTATCCTCTATGTCCCATGAGTATCAAATTTTCCAAGCCCTTCTTCCTCATTATGTGACCTATAAACCTCAACTGTCGCTTCCCGATGTTAAGTAAAAATTGCCTTTATGTGTTCATTTTCGTCGTTGCTCACATGTTCGGTAAATAAATATACCGTTTAAAAAATAAAAACGAGGCGTATACTTAAATATGGCTATCTACTAAAAAATAACGTCAGATTAATAAATAAAAAATCTTTGACTTTTTTATAAACACATGCACACACGTGTATATATATATATATATATATATATATATATATATATATATATATATATTTACATACGCACTTTCTCTGACATTGAACACTTTATTCCATAAATATAGCACACCTTACTACTATGTTTCTTCATATATATATATATATATATATATATATATATATATATATATATATATAATTGTAGAAACCCAAAAGACTGCCCATTGGAAAATAAATGCTGCGTCAAATCTGTGGTATACCAATGTACTATCTCATCCATTGAAAGTCCTAATACTAATATGATATACATTGGGTCTACGAAGAATGAATTTAAAGCCAGATGGAGGCATCATAAGTGCTCTTTCAACAATATAAATAAAAGAAATCAGACATCTCTATCTAAATATTTTTGGCATTTGAAAGAAATGAATAAAACACCTAAAGTTAAATGGAAAATTATAAACAAAACTAGAACTTGTAGAACTTGGGATGACCCATGCCCTTTATGCCTACATGAGAAACTACACATTATTAAGTTTCTAAATAATAAAAATCTATTAAATATTGACATGAGTTTACGGTTTTTTGCCGACATCATCAAATTTTTGCATTGAATAATTAGCATAAAAACAAACAAACAATAAAATAATTTTTATAATCCATAGCCCTAATAAATAGTTTAAATACCCTACAAAAAGATAACCCTTTATGAAGTCGTTAAAAAACAAATGTTACGGCAGTTTTTTATATACACAAAACCCTTTCAGAAATAAATAAAATAAATAAATAAATAAATCTCCATAGACACGTAAACCAGACTAGGCGAAAACATCTTCCGTTTTAAATTTAGACACCCCAACCTTACCCTGACTTGACATCTATGAATGTAACTCTATACTGATACAAATTATTAACACCCAACACCCCCTCCTATTTAAACAATCGCTCTGGCCGTTACCATGGAAATTTTGATTTCAATAATGAATATGCTATTAAAACACGTAAATTTCAGAAATAAGTTATTCCCCAAAAAATTTCGCTTGAAGATTTAACAGAGCTTACTTTAATTCAAATAATTATATTGAAGTTTTCGGCTCTTGTTTTGAAACATGAGACCTCTTATGTAGCGTGTTGGAATCATATTTTTAAATAAATAATTATATATATATATATATATATATATATATATATATATATATATATATATATATTTATCTGTAGAGGTATTAATCTGTTTTATTAAGGTAGCAGAAAAGGAATGTAACCTCAAAATTACAATCAATTATTCCATGCTTCACCATTGAGCTAAATACGCATGCGCTTTGCCAAGATAGGAGTAACGATACCTTGAGGAGTCAAAAACATTGTTTGCTGGTGGCTGTTTGACAGTTGTGGAAGAAAAACGAGAGATGGGCACTTAAGACGACTTAAAAGCAATAGTCTGACGTCAGCACTTATTCCGGTGGTGTAGTGTTGTATCAAGTATCTAGAGACCCCTTTTCTTTTTTCATTTTTATTTTTGGGGACATTTGTTGTTTTGTTAGTAAGGATTTACTTGCGATTATACAAAGCCGAGTGTCATAGCTCATCAAATATGGAGTTTAGTCTTCCAGTTATAAAAGCAAATGGGGGTTGAGGCATCTTTCTTCTTCTTTATATGCTGAGTCCTCTCAGGGCGTAGCTGATCATGGCTCTCCACAACTCCATATCCTTTGTAGCTATTAATAAATTTTGTTTTTTTTTCTTTTATTTCTCCTAAACCCACTTCCGCCATCCATTTACTCAAACTGACTAAGTCTGTTACCTACTAAGGCGTTATTGTTTGCAAGACTCATTGTAGATCGCTATTGCAAAGTAATTAATCTGGAAGCTGGTGTTTTACACGAAAAGCAACGCAGTAGAGCCACTAAGACACAAGGGTTTTACTGGTTAGGGAAGAATTAGAAAACATAAATATTACTAAGCAGCGAAAACAGAAGACGATTAACTAGAAGGATAGCAGATAACGACTGACATTGCATTTAAAGATTTTAAGATTAAAGTTGACTGAAAAGCATGAAGCCGGAAGATAGTTTCACAATCGAAGAGTGCAAGAAAAGAAACTGTTAGCATAGAACTTACGGCTACATTTATCCAATACAATTATAATCTGACGAAACCTCGTTGCCAATCTAGTACTGCTCTTAAATTCATAAAGTCTAGGTACCATAGCTAAGAGCTCATCCGAACTGTTACCATGAAAATATTTTTTTGATATATTTAGCACCGGATAAATACAATACTTCGAACATTGTTGACTGGCGCTACATAATCACAAAAATCTACCAGATAGCAGAAACCACATCACCTGAGGACTTTTAATAGATACAACAACTAAAATGGGTATCACGTGTAACTCGTAAAGAAATCAATGACATAATCAAAATATTGGCGTTCCACACTACTTCAAACAAAAGGTTAGGAAGGAAACCTACATCAATAATGGAAAGAGTTCTTTAAGATTGGGCTTCTGGGTTCTTCTAAAATCTTCCCATTCTCTCTTTCTCTCTCACTCTCTCTCTCTCTCTTTCTCTCTCTCACACACACACACACACTCACTCTCTTGCGTCTTAGCAACAGAACAATTGTTATCTGCTATATAGGAGGATTGAGGGCGCTTCAGCGTGGTGTAATGGTTAGCAAGCTCGTTTTGCCAAAGCATCTATGACTGGATAGTGAGTTTGATGCTCACTGGGTGCCCTATATTTTCGGCCTTGTGTCACGTCTAAGCTAAGATTAGAAAATCAATATATAGGAAG